CCAACTATGCCATGTCCCCACTGTGCTAGTTTTTTATTATTATTACAGAATTGTCCATATAAATTTATAATAATTATAATTAAATAATTATTATTTTCAGCGAGCAGTCAAGTCAATGTGTAACGTTTATTGTTGTGACTAGTGAATTGTGTATTAATAAAATCAATTTCAATATACAACATATATTTTCTCATACTCGAGTTTGTTTTTACTATCATTTTATGTGAAAAACTGTAATTTTTCCAATATTTAAATTGTGGTTAAAATAGCATTAGTAAAAAAAACTAAGGGCATAGTCATAATAAGCCATAAAAGACCTATCAGAGAAATAAAATTTATATTTCATGAACATTCATTCCATGGACCCAATTATGTCAAGCTGTGTACTCGGATTTCTTTTAAGTACTATTGTATTAAGGTTTTTTATCATAGTGATTTTAATCTTAAGGGATCAATGTCAAATTTTACTGGCCTACCATGTTATGAGACACACACAAATTTACAAATTAGTATGATTTTATGACTTTTTTTTATTCTTACTTTTACATGTAAATTATGTTTTTGGACCCAAATAGATCTTACAAAAATCAAGTTACAGGTCGGAGGTGCTTCCGACAATAATAGAAATTTAATTTAAGTTGATGTCTTTTTCTGTTTGAATGATTAGTGAATATTTCAGTAATTATATTGTATTGAATTATTTATAATCAATTTAATTAATTATTTGACTAACTTAATATTAATATAATAACACAATAAAAAATTTTCGATTTTATATATATTTTAAAAATAAATAATATAATACCTGCTAAAGGGAAAAAATTAACAGTTTGATGTATTTGCTGCCATCTGTTGAAGAGTTGATACAATGCAGTTTAACTCTAACCCATTAGTTATCTATTTGGTTCTGTTTTTTGTTTCAAAAGCAATTTATGTCCTCAACATCTTAATTACAAAATAGTATTAATAAAATTTAATCTAACTTAATTATAGTGTATTTATTAATTAAGGAATTAATTTCTTTGTAATTATTCAAGGATTCAATCTTCTGTTCCACAAATTTCTTATTCCCATGAATATTTGTTCCAATTACCAGTTTATCCATAAAACATTTGTTCCAACAAACATTATGTCCAAATGGTAATTGTTCCAATGAATATGTGTGTCAATAATATCTTTATGCAACTACTTTTATTACACAAATCATTAGGTTCATTAAATATTTTATCCATCTATTATTGATAAATCTTCATTGGAAAAAAGTTTGAATCAAATAAAAGATAAAGAAAAGTAATTTTATATTATTATTAATTAAAAACTTGAGAATGTTAAAATTATTACGATTGTCGATAAAAAGGTTGAACATTGTTTTGATGATCATTTTTTTAAAGCTCCTACCTTAAAAAAATTGCTAAAAAGTTGAGTGTGCAAATCTTTGCATGTGCGCTAATGGCAATGGGGTGACTAAAATTGTTTACAGCCTTAAAATAAGAAATTTCTGACAGTATTATTTGAGCGAAAAACATATTGGCAAATGATTTTTTATATTTAACGTTATGTGAATTAATAAATTTGATATTTTACATAGTTTTAAAAGGGGTAATTTGGTATACTAGTAGATCATTTTAACAAAGTATAATCGATACATTATTATATCACTCAATACAAAAGTCTTGTGATATATTAATAGTACATTAAATATATTTTGAAAAACTTCATTTATAATTATCACCTAAATATGCTTGATTGGTGAATTAAAGGAGCTCCCTCATTGAAAAATTATTATTGTAAATGTTATATGATGCAAGTAAAGAGCATGTGGTAAGCCAATATCAAAAAAAAAAAAACCCTAGCAATAAGATTGCATAAAATCACAACCCAATTAATAGACTACTTAATAATTCAAATCTTATATTTTTCTGTAAAATTTTAGTTATATTTTGTCCAAGGTAAATAATTATTATTATTATCATTTTCCTACGGAAACAAAAAAAACTTGTATCTCCAGCGTTCAAGTTTCTTTATTTCTTTATTTTAAGTTTTTATTTATCGTAACCCTTAAAATTAAGAGGTGAAAAATTGTAATGCTTTGTTTAGGAAAATTAAATTATGTTCACAAGACCATATTTTTACAAATAATAAATGTTCACCTTATGTATTACATAATTATTTGTTTTAATGGCTAATGCATTTTATTATTTAAATTAAATTAAAAAGTTCATTTTCAAAGTAAATTTTAATAAACTGGATCATTGTAATAATGTGTTGCTCTTAGACATTATTTTTCTTATAATAACAAAAGTAGTTTATTTTTGTTGGTGACAGTGATTTAATAATTAGAATGAAGTATGCAATTGCCGTGTTCCAGTTTTTCTGTAATTATCCGTAACTATAGTATGATAAAAACTTTTAAAGTACACTGTACTTTACGTACTTTAGTCGTGTGCTTAGAGCCATCGCTAAACTAAAAATATAGAGAGTGAAAAATTTATTTTTTCAATTGAATAATTTTTCCAAAATTGTGTAACTTTTTTAATTATTAATTTTTGGTAGCATCCTCTTATACTAAATATATATTTATATATTTATAAATATATAATATATATTTAATTAAATATATATTTAAGTAATAATTATTAATTATCATGAATTTAATAATTAGTAATTAGTACAATTTATAAAATCTTATAATAGAAATTCTAATGATAATATCATCAGATTAAACTCAATAATATATTATGTTATTTTTAATTTATTAGTTCCATTTATATTTTTTTCATTGAGTTATTTGTCTTAAAGACTATTTGTTCCAAGTTTTATTTAATCCATTCAACTTTAATTCAAATAAACATTCATTTCACAAATTAGCTGGAACAAATGTTAATTTGAACAAGAAATTTATGGAACAAAAGTTTCTTACCCATTATCAGATTAGATAACTTTGGGTTATGACGATTATCACAAACTGATATGCTGCGACTTTCACATACTCCGTTATTATAAAATGTGCTACAAAAAGTGCAATTAGTATGATTACATGGTTACAGTATTCTTTTATGATAGTGTAATATCAAAAAAAAAAAAAAGACCATGATGGGATAGGATTTTAAATTTCGGAACATTATCAGTTTGTAGAAAAGGTGTTTTCCTGTTAATTTTTACAGAAAAATGTAAAATAAATAAATAGGGAATCTAAAATCAGTTATTTAAAATCTACATGGTTCTCAGCTAAAATCATACTATACCTCTGTATAAACATACACTTTATACATATTTTTCTTATGCTTTATTCGTTTTCAATAAAAAAAAATCCTTGAAAATTGTTAGGTGGTGTAAGGGAATTCATTTTAAACATACCAAAATCTCTACCATGTTACAACAGTACATATTTAAGAAAAGTATTCTCTTATATAGTACTATACATAAAATGAATGAACAATAGCATATTTATTCTAAGAATTTAAATAAAATCAATTTATAAATAAGATTTGAATAGAAGATACTAAATTTCTTAGGCGACTAATATTTTATTTATGTATCAGTAACATATTACTTTATTTGAGTACGCTATTTGAATTTAATCACGTAATTCTCAAAAATATATAAAAAAAATCTTGCATTTGGGTTAGTAAAAAAATAGAAACCAGAGTCATTATTTCAGATTAAAATTATATTTAGAACACTGTAAGGACCAGATATATAATCAAAATTTAAATGGGATACAATCAGTGGCGTATTTTGAATGATTTCTCGGGTGGTGTCCAACTTTTAATGAACCTCACAAACGAAAATTATAGAAATGTTTACTGACGTAAAAAAACTTACTATTTTTCTAATTACTATTTTAGCAATTGACAAATAATTTGAAATTTGAAATTTTGGTACTGTTGTATCTTAAAAGAAACAACCCTAGTGTCTTAACTTAAAGTAATAAAAGTTTAATAATAACTCAAATGTATTTATTATAGATATAATTAAACAATGCAAAACATACAAAATAAATATACACTAAAAACACAATAAAACAATACACAAAATGAAAACTTAATGTCATAAACGTACCGCGCGAAAAGAGATTACCTTCGGTGCTCCTGAGGTCCTCTCTCCTCTACGATTCATTCCATTTCGTCTTATATACTAAAATATTTTGTTTTTCTTCTTTTTGCAAAATTAATAATACTATCGTTTTCAAAAATGTTTATAAATATTTAATTCCTGGTCTAGTAATAATAGATCAGGAAATTACAATTAAACGAAACATTACAAAAATGTTTTACTTCCAGCTTTACAAATGATAAACTATATTACAGTATACAGACTGATTTTTTTATCATAACCCACTCATTTACTTGTAGAATAAATATAATTTAAACATTATTTTTGGTTTTCTTTAGTTACACATTATTCTTAAATTATTAACTATTTAAAACTTTTTATGTTCATCCCTTATGCCTTGTAAGGGTGTCAACTTTGTCTTTTTGTCTTTTAAATGGGAACACATATTTTGAATATAATAAAATGTTTGGATTTTTAATTAAATAGTAAATGGCATTTGAATTTTTAATATAACTTTATTAGTTTATTAGATATAAACATTTAAAGTTTCAAATTTTTGAGTTAATATACATGTATAATACACATGATGATATGATTACAAATACAGGTAGCTAAATGGTTTATATGATATCAATGTCGCAGTCACGGATTGTTTATTATCAATTATGACTATCATAGATATACTTTCAGTATTGACCGTTAGTGTAANATATACTTTCTGTATTGTCAGTTAGTGTATTTATAAACTCACAACAATGTGCCTTACTACCATTGATAATAACAATGCTGTGTACCTGCTAATTTCTTTGAAGTTGTTTTAAACAAAGTAACTCATAACTAAATACTTTATTTATAATAAGTAAACAAATAATAAAATCTCCTTTCAGTATTGATGTTCGTAAATTACTTGCTTTTGATGATGTTTCAGTGTCATTTCACTTCGAAATTATAAATAACGATTCAATTAGGTACACAAAAAGCTCAAGAAAATCATTGACAGCATAAAAACGTTCAACTCATTTAGTCGCACATAATTGTTTTAATGATTTTTTAGTTATACATTTTTGACTTTCTTCGATTTGACTTTTCAACACATCTTTTCGCTTTGGGTATATGAAAAAATCTCTAACTTTAGATGTTGTTCCTAATCAATTTCGTGTTTCTTGTATAGAAGATGAATAAGAAATAGCAAGGTTTAAAACATGAACAGCACAATGAACAAACGTCGCAAGCGGATAACTTTGGTGAATAAGAGATTGAGCTCCGTTAAATTGACCAGACATAGAAGCACATCCATCGTAACACTGTCCTCTAAGGTATTTTGTTTCTACACCAAATGAATGTAAACTTGGAATAATAATATATAAACCTTTTCCAGTAGTGTCTGTTGTAGGCACAAACTGAAAAATTCTTCCTTGATAATCATATTTTCAACATCTAAATATTGAACACACAAAGTTATTTATTCGCTTCCACCAATGTCGGTCGTTTCAAGTATTTTGAAACATTTTTGGGCATTTATGTTTGTTACGATTTTATTTAAAATAATTTTATTACAGGATTCAATTATTTCATTTTGAAGTGTTTCACTTGTATATTTTATTGTTTCTTCAGCTTCCAAAAATGATTTTAAACGGTCATCTCCTTGGGCTCTGTATCTTAATATTTCTCTAAAATTTCCTTGATTTTCTTGGATAATTTGTCATTTTCTTGATATATATTGAAGTTACAAAGATAGCCGTTATTGTCAAAAAAAAAAAAATAAATAATAATAATAACATTAAAAATGCAAATAATAATTGAACCTATAAGGTAGTTAAACCATAAAGTTATTTTCGATTTGTTAAAGTCGTTAAAATTAATTCAAATCTCCTGTTATTTTCTTTTATCAGAATTATTATGTCATTAATTCAATTATTAATTAAATTGTTAAACTATATTATATATTCAACTTAATAAATTTTTATGTTGATTATAATCGCATGGCATGATGTTTTTTGTTAATAACTAAATGGAAATAGCAATTTCACATGGGCAAAATTTTTAATAGTTGCAAGAGAATAAATCCAAACGTTGATATTTTATTTCATACAGATTAAATTTTATATGCATAAATATTCTGTTAACCGATATCAAAACTTATTGAACTTTCATAAAAAAATCTCTATCATTTGTAAACTAATGTAATAAATAAACAAACAAATACAAAAGGTTTTTCTTCAAAATATCTTTAAAATATATATATATATTTTTTTTTTATAATTCTCTGTATTATTCTTAAAATATTGTATTCTTTGACCAATAATACAATTAAAATAAATAAGTATTGTTTATACTAAATTTATTTATAATTGGCTTATACATTTTTTTAATGAATTTTTACAATTAAGTTTCCTTGACAATTAGATGTAAATGTTGATTTTATCGACATTTCAGTTCACTTCGTTTTTTCCCGTGAAAAATAAACTATCGTCTTGTGTAATTATTAAGATTTATTTAATTAGTTATTGATATGGCAAGTGAAAAAAATATTTTTGGTCAAACAAATGAATCAAACTTACATAAGGTCATACGCAGAGTTGAAGAAATATGGAATCGTCGTTTCATGCATTCCAATTGTGTTTTAAATAATACAAATAAAGGACAAATATCAAAAAAGTCAACTAAAGATGGAAGAATTATCTGTAAACACTATTAAGATTAATAATTAAACTAACTATTTCGAATAGAGAAAAAGTTTTTTAATATAAAATATAAGAAAAATTAATAATAAGTTCTCTTATTCATATATAACAATAATTCAGTCGCTTTACTTTAATTTAACTATTTTAATATTAAAAACCTTTTTCGAAATTGATTATTTAATTAATAATTATTAAAATTATATTCAATTTGCAGCAATTATTAATAAAAATATTTATCCTATAAAAAATTCCATTATTCCAAAAAAACGCACTTATCGAAAAACGAATAAAAACGATAAAATTATTCCAGAAAAATTGGTAACTATAATTATATTAATATATTTATTCGATTTAGCTATGTTATTGGGGTTTGTCTGATTCAAAAATATAAAATAAACTATCAACCCCCTTAATATAAATGCGGTAACATAATGTTTAATATTATTCTGCTATTTTTTCTATTAGATTTTTATGGGAAATTCAATTATTATCGAAGATAATAATATAATATTAAGTATAGTTTATTTGTTTATTTAAATATCTCTTTGGTTACCTAGAATATGATGCAGCAAAGAGAATTCGGAACACTTTTTCAGAATGAAAAATCTGAAAAATATAAAAATGAAATTTTAAATTCAACAGAAAAAAAAAATATAGCAATTTCAAAAGACAATCCGCTATTAATATCAGCTGATTTGTTAGAAAATGTATATTTTATTATGCTTTATTTCAATAAAAAGATTTTAGGGTATACCCTAAACCATTTTTTGGACTTAAAGCAGATTTCTTAAATAAATTTATCATATAATTAAATATATTTTTATGATCCGTTAAGAGTTTTCATGAGAAAAATTTGGAACGCAAAAAATCTGAAATAAAAAAACAACTTTTTGAGATATCTTCTAATACTACTGCTCGACCAAATTTAAAAAGAAATTTACCCGAAGAAGATGAAAAAGTCATAAAAAGTATACAACTTTTAAAATATAATTCATTTTTAAAAAATATGAAGTTTTGATTTTTGAAACAAATATGTAATATTTTTAAAAATAAATTATTTTAGAGCCAAAAGTTAGTTCTAATCCTTTGACCTTAAATACGCCGAATGACGTAAATTTACTTGCTCTGTCCACTATTGAAGTAATAAAAGTACCAGAGAAAGAAAAAGGTAATTAGTTATTTAATCTATTTATTTTATGTAAAATTAAATAAAAAAAGATTATTTATTAAACATAATTAATTATAATAATACGAGTTAAATTAATATAACTTCTCATTGTCATTAAGGGGGTCCATGGACGTTTTAAACAAAAGTAATTATACGTGTTTAATTTCATATTCCAAAACCTTAAATAAACCTAAATAATAGTAAACTGTTCAACAAAGTCTTTTATTAATTTTATGAAAAATGTTTAAATATGGTTACACTTGCAGAAGTAATGCAAGATCAGAACACAAAATTTTTTGATCAGTATAATGCACCTTCATTTAAATCGCCCACATCATGGTATACTTCAGACACAATTAATGAGTACATTAAAATGATAGTAAAACGGTCAGAAGGTGAAGTTTATGCAGTTGTCACTGATTTTATTGTAGCGTATCTTCGAGGAGGTTATCCAGCTGTAAGAAGATGGATAAAAAAAGATATTCACACAATAAAATTACTTTTTGTGCCAATGAATGTATATGGGAGTCATTGGATATTGACAGTGGTTAATATACCTGAAAAGACTGTGACATCATATGATAGTCTTAAGTCGTATGAGGGTCCCTATCCAATGGTATTAAAAAATTTCTTAATTGAATGGGAGATGGACAAAAAAGGAAAAGCTTCTACATGGACATTACAAATAGGCGAGACATCTCGCCAAACCAATGGACATGATTGTGGGCCATTTACTGTTGAGCTGGCAGAAAAAATGTCTCGAGGAGATACAACACCAATAAATGCAAATTTTATGCCTTTTATAAGATTAAGACACAAAAATGAAATTATTGCTGGCGAGCTATTCAATTAATATTTTTATGAATGAAATTTTATTTTTGTATTTTATATCAATTTTCTTAATATTCACTATAAATTGAAATTTTTATTTGTATACCACCAAAAATTTTTTTACTTTTTCTATGTTTAATTGTTGTTTTGTTATTTTATTTTAATCTTATTTTTCTTTGTAACATTTCATTTAAGAAATTCAAATTTAATATAAATTTATCTTAACTGAAATAATTTAATGTTCTTGTTATGTGAATATACAAATATTATAATATACAGTTATGGATACAATTAAGTTAAAAAGTCAGCCAATTATAAATTTTTAAATTAACAAGCGTATCTACTATCTTAACAACTTAATTTTAATTTTACTAAATGACGATTCATAAAGAATTTCATAACTTTTGTTTATTTTTTAAATACTATTTTAATTATAAAAAATTCTTTTTTGTATTTTTTATGAATGCGGTATATTGAATAGGGGTAACTAAACTTATTTGTTTATAATTCTCTAAACTGATAAACTATAAAATAAATTTAAAAATGAACTACAAGTTCAGAATATTTCCGTTATTATATTTTTACTATGGGTATTTTTGTTATCTAAATGACCCAATGAAATCCAAATAATTTCTAGAAATCTCTGATAAAATGTAAATAAATACGTGTCGTCGAATCCTATCAAATTATCTTCAATTTTGTTATTTATTTAAAAAATACCATTTATTTTATAGTAAATAAATATAGTATATTATAAAAAAAGTTAATACCAATATATTAGGCATTTTTTTTAAGTCGGGGGGTGTCCAGACATGGAGGACACTCCCCCAAAATACGCCACTGGATACAAGCAAATTAGAGTCCCCCTCCAAATGACACCATTGTTAGAAACTATGGAGGTTTTTATTAATAATTAAATTTATAATTTGTTATACAATTTAAATTTTATAAAAATATTATGTAAAGCTATATATCTTATAAGATATTGATAAAATAGATAAATTGACCTAGGGGTACTGAAATTAGTTTACCATTATTTTGTTATGACCTATGACCAAAAAAAAAACTTATATGATTTTTTAGCTTTTCGCTTTTAGATGCGAAGGTGAGAAGGTATTAATTTTACCATGATGTGTTTTTTTTCTGTCTATTGTCACTTTTTCTCAGCTCTCACGATTCTTCACGTTTCTTTAAACGATACGTCAAAAGATCACAAATAGTATATAGTCTATACATTACCCTTTAAAGTTGAAAAAAAATTTGCTCGTTCCCCGTAAATAGGGAAAATCTCTAAAAAAATTACAAATTTAAAAATCGGTAAATTTCGTCATTTTTTTCACTTTTTTTTGTTTTAAACTACCATAACTTTTTCAAAAATTAACAAATCAACAAACTTTTTTTTTATATTAAAACGTTAGATATTTTTCTTTCATTTAATATAATTTTTTTTTTAATTTGAACCAGGGGTAAATAAATAAGTAACTTTTTCACAAAAGTGAAAATTTTCAATTTAAATTTTGAAAATGTTACGAAAATACTGTGTTCTTTAAACATATGTCAAATTACAGCTTACAATAAATACTATAAGTTTAAAAAAAAAATCTTTCCCGACACCTTTTCTTCTATATTCTATATTATGTTCCGGAAATATTGACACTTTTATTTAATCTTAAATTAAAGCTTATATTATATACTTCATTATCAAAAAAAAATTTGAAATATAGATTTTCTTTTTAATGAAAATGGCTTTTGTATTAAAAAATATGCTATTTTTGTGTTAAAATTCTGGGTTTTGAATTTTATTTTATTTTAAAATATCTTACAAGGGGAATACACTGACTTTCATAAATATTATATAATTTAATTGACATGAATAAAGTTCATAAGACATAAGAGGTTAAACTTATTTAAATTGTTTTTTTTTTAAAGTTAAAAAATTAACTTTAAAATTTATATTAGCATAAATTGCAAATTTTATCACTCGACGAAAACGACGAATCGGTAACAATTGTGTCTTTCATGAGGTTCAAATCCGACTGTGGCAATTATTATTTTTCATTTTTATTGAGTTTGGAAAAAATTTTTATTTCGATTTCAATTAATTATAAAAATTATATATTATATTTTTGAATCTAAGAATTACTAATCTGAACATAATTAAAGAAATAGAAGTTGATGTTGCTTTTGTAATTATCCATCAATTTCTTAGAAATAAACACTATCTACATATTTGCATTGAAGCGTTTCTTATGATAGTGATTTAAATCATTGTCAGATTAAATCTATACTGGACCCAACTATGCTGTTTCCACTGTGTCGGGACCCTACTGTGCTGGGTTTTTTTTGTTTAATATATTATAATTATTTCAAAATAATTTTAGATCCGAAAATCTGGAACACTTTATAACTTAGTTAATTGTGTGTGCAAAAAATATTTATAAAATCTAATACTTGATTTTTTATATTCAGGATATTATATATAAAATAAACATTAAATGCATTTATGAGTATAGTTTGTATAGGAATAAACAAATTTCAAATTTATATACAATTTATATTTATAAAATATATATTTAAAAAAAAACATAATGAAAATGTATATAGTGAATTTACAAAATTTAAAGACTATAAAAATCAATATTTTTCTACTGCTAACTCAAGAAGACGATTTATATTTGATACCAATTTTCTTGAATCATTAATTAACCCAGCAGTTACCATTGAGTTACTGAATAACTATTAATAATATATTACAATATATGAATAAAAAATGTATTAATATATTAAAAAATATTCAATGTTTTTACCTGTTCTACAATTAATTTAGCTAATTCTTCATTAGTATCTTTCAAAGTGTATAGTTTTTTGACAACAGGATGTCTAATAGAAACATATTATAATTAGGAATAAATGATTAAAAAACATTTTCAAATTAAAAAGTACTTTGGGTTGAGTTCTAATTGAGGCTGTAAAATTGATAGTAACATATCTTCATCCATTTGTTTAAGCTGAGTTTTAATAAAATGTCTAGCTGCTGTCATATCTTGCACAGTGATAACACACGGATGAGTATCTAGTTGTCCAGTAACTTTAACATTTTTCACTTTAGAACCAAGAGTAGTCTGAATCCAAGGCAGCAAAGAATCTAACTGTAGTTGACCAAGACTATCTACTCCTATGATTTAGTAAAAATTAGATATAACAAAGTGTTATAAAAATAAAAAAACAAACCAAAGTCTTGTGTTTTAGGTTCTTGATCACTTGCTGTGTTGACTTCTTTTTCTACTAGAGTTAATTTAAGATTTTTAAAAGTTTTTACTTGGTATAAGATAATTTCATCATGTTGTTCATAACAATATATTACTTCTACATTCTTTTTCTTTAATGCTTCTATATATGGAGAACTCTCAGCTAAAGCACGGCTAAAAAAAATGATTAATAGAACACTTTAAATAATATAGTTGTAATTTTATTACTTAGGAGCAGACAAATAATAAATGTCATTTTGATCATCTTGTTTTCTCTTTATGTATTCTTCAAAAGATGTTGTTTCACCAGGTTTAGTGTGTGAAGATTCATATCTCAAAAGACTAGCTAAATCTTCCTAAAATTACAATTTTTTATTAAAATAGTAATGTAAGAAAAAATTAAGTCTTATAACTAATTAATGTTTACCCTTTCTTTGGGATCATCATTCATAACTATTCCTTCTTTAATGAAAACACCATAATCATTATAAAATTTAAGGTATTCATCAACATTCTTGATTGATTTATCATGCAAAAATTTTATAATTCTACTAGTAAGCAATCGGTTTAATTTTCTAAAATAAAAAAAACTTGTTAGTATATTAATTCAATTAATTTTATTAAAAACATACTTTAATAGAACTGAATTCTGCAACATTTCTCTACTCAAATTTAATGGAATATCTTCAGAATCAATCACTCCTATTAAAAAAATATTACATTATACATTTAGACTAGTAAAAGTATAAAAATGTAATATAACACAATAAATTATATTAATAAATTTTACATTTTAAAATTTAATAAAAACATAAAGAAAGGAAATAGGTGTAGATTACATAACATACAATTTTTTTTTTCCATTAATTGATTTTAGAACTATTAAATTTCAAGCCATTTAATAGTTATAGACACTTGAGTGAGTGTCCTTTAGTCAAATTATTGGAGCACGAGAGACATAGTATGGAGCAGTTGAACAAGTAGTTGAAGAGTATTGGAAAAAAAGAAGAATGTCAATCTACTTTTACTGTCATCCTTATTTTCAAAACTACTTTTTTTGAATTTATATACTTTCTAGATTGCTAAGTTTTTATTTACATCTTTTCAAACTTAGCACATATTTTCTATATATATAACTAGATTATATATATATATCTATTTGAACTACTATTATAAAATTTTTTACTGCAATAAAAAAAACAAAAATCATACTTAATTTTTACATTCTAAAAAAATACAAATTTTTATTTTTTTGTACAAATTATAGTTCATTCAAAAACTATTCGAATAGTAAAAATATTCGATAGTTATATAATATATTCGAATAGTTTATAAAACTATTCGGTAATTCTATTCAAATAGTTTAGAAAATATTTGATAGTCTATTTGAATAGTTTTTAAAATAATTGATAGTAGTTTATGCTCAAAATAAAATATTCGGTGGTATAAACACAATTCGAATAGTTAATCAATAGTTTAAAATATTTGAAAATACACATCACTAAATTTTTTATTATTAATTGTATATAATCGTAGTACCCTTTTTAAACAATTATAAACAATTTTAAACAATCCTATTTAGATTGTTAGTGTTATTATAACAGCAAAACTATAAATCTGACTATAATTTTACATAAGACCAATATTTTGGAAAATTTAACATATTTTTTTTTTACGAAACATTTTATTGTAAAATGATAATTTCAAAAATTAAAAATGATTTATATTCAAAAAATTAGTTTTAGCAAATTATTTTTTTATTTTATTTTTTTGAGCAAGTAAAAGTAATTTTAGAAAATTTTTTGTAAATACCATTTTAGAAAAAAATATTAAAATCTATAATTTATATTCTATACATTGTTACGCTAAGTGTGTTAGTTTAAAAAATAATAATCAAAAACTGAAAAATTACCTTTTTGAGCGAATTTTTAACCCTGATTCGGACCTGAAGGGGGAAGTTATCAAAACCAAATTTTACACAAATAACTTTCATATAATAAAAATCTCAATAAAATATAATTATTTATTTAATTATGTTTAAAAAATTAATGAAAATCACCCAAAAAACAAGCCTTTACACCTATTTATCTCTGTAATATAATTTATAATAAACAAAAATTAGTTTTCAATAGGTTATACAAAGAAGTAGTTAGTGAAATGAAACCATAAATGATAATCTACAATACAACTTTAGTAATATAATATCTTAATATATGTAATTTTTATTAATAATTTATATAAATAAATTAATTAATTACCTTTAACAAAGCGAAGCCACTTCGGTAATACATGTTCAGCTTCTTTTTTCACTAATATACGCCGAGTATAGAGAGAAACACCTTTAGTAGAACTATCATAAAAATCAGTATGGCCTATAATAAATACGTTATACAGAACACTAAAATAAAAATTTAAAAATTCATTTAAAAAAATTTACCTGGAGATATTTCAGGAAAATATAGCAAAGCACGAACTTGTATTGGAGCTTCAGCAGAATAATGCAAGACAAATCTTGGTTTATCGTAAGCATTTGCTACAAATTTGTAAAATTCATCATGTTGTTCTTGAGTAATAGATTTGGGATCATGTAACCACAATGGCTATAATAATTTAATATTTAATTTTAACTAAAAAAATTTTTTTAACAATAATACTAGTACCTGAATAGTATTTATTTCTGAACCATTTAATTTTATTGGAGAGTTTACAAAATTGCTATACTTATTGATTACTTGTCTAACAACATCTTCTGAAGCATATTCACGACAATCGTTTTTCAGATACATAACTATTTTAGTACCTCTTTCTATATTATCAGCTTCAGTTATTTCATAAGTACTTGTTCTTTTTTAATAAAATATGATACACAAAAATAAATTTTATAAACAGTGTTTGTAGTAATTATTATAATTAAAATATCAATATAATATTACCCATCTGATTTCCATAGATATCCAGTAGCATTAAGATTCATAGACTTGGTAAAGACTTCTACTTTATCTGCTACCATAAAACAACTGTAAAATCCCACTCCAAATTGACCAATAATTGATGATAAATTTGTAGAATCATTACTCTGGATTTCTTTTAAAAAGGCCTAAAAATATGAAATTATCTAAATTTTTTTAAATATTATAATGCATTTAAAAATATAAATATCCATATTTTTATGATTTTAACATCATTTTTTAGCTTCGATGCGAAGCTGAGAAGGTATTAATTTTACTATGATGTGTTTTTTTTTGTGTCCGTTACCACTTTTTCTCAGCTCTCACCGAACCGATTTCNATTTTTTTTTTTGTGTCTGTGAACGCTCAATCTCAGCTCTCGCTGGACCGATTTTGATGAACAATATGTCAAAAGATCACAAATCGTATCTAGTTGAAGACATTACCCTCAAAAATTGAAAAAAAATTCCCCGTTCCTCGTAAACGGGGGAAATCCCCAAAAAAATTACAAATTTAAAAATCGCTAATTTTCGAAATTTTTTCAATTTTTTTTACTAAAATGTGCCGTAACTTTTTCAAAAATGAACATATCAATATAATTTTTTTTTTATAGATGCTTGATGTCTTTACCTATCATGTGATATATTTTTGTAAATCTGACCCTTTATCTGCCCACTGGGGGGGATTTAAAAAGACAACTTTTTCACAAAAAATTAACTTTTTCAACTTAACTTTTGAAAATGTTCCGGAAGGTCTGACACTTTTATATATATCTTAAATTAAAGCTAATGTAATATACTTTAATTTGAAAAAAAAAAATTTGAACTCTGGACTTGTCTTCATGGTAAAAATGGCTATCAAATGCTATTTTTGTGTGAAAATTCTCGATTTTATTTTTTACATTTTTAACTTTATAATGATATAACTTATTCAAAAGTGTATGGATCAACATAATTTTTTAATGAGAAATAATATTTTTTAATAAACCCTTTTTCGTTCGACATACTTTATCTTAATCAAGATATTAATAAGGAACCAGCAGATCATGTAGCTTTTGGAATAAAACACCAATTTTTTTAAAATTTAACACTATCTAAAGATTTGCATTGAAGCGTTTTTTTTTTGTGATTTTAATCACTGTCAAATATCATTATACTTGATCCAACTATGCCACGTCACCACTGTGCCGCGACCTCCCTGTGCTGGGTTTTTTTAATCATGTTTGCATATAGTGTAGTAAGATATGAATTACAATTAATTTATTTTTGTACAACATTTGAATCGGGAATATATATACAACCGATATGGATCAAGCAAATTGTTTAACAACCCCCATATATGTTTTGCATACTAGCCTTACAAAATATAAAATATTACTTAGGAATGAGAATTGAGAACACTTGTTGCCCCCTAGATAGATATAAAAAAATGTTTACCACTCCTTAAATAATGCACAATATATACCACTGAATTCAAGTTTGCCTATTTTCTTTAAATCTGAATACAACAAAATTAATTTGATTAAACAAATTTAGAAAATATATTTAATTTACTTTAGACCCAGATTTTGCAATAGTTCCTAAATTAGATATAAGTTCTTCTTTTGTCATTCCAATTCCATTATCTTGAATAGTGAGCATTCGATTTGTTTTGTCTGTTGTTATATTTATTTCCATACTACCAAAATCTTGCGATTCATTTCCCTTTAAACTTAAATAACGAAGTTTTTCTAATGCATCACTTGCGTTTGAAACAAGTTCTCTAATAAAAACCTACTCAAAAATCAACAAAATGAAAATTTAGCACTATAATTATCAAAAAATAAGTAATAAAAATGTCAATATTTTCCTTACTTCTTTTTCTGAATACAAAGACTTAGCAACAATATCCAACAACATACGAGTTTCAGCTTGAAATTCCAATTTTTCTAAAAAGAATTTAAGATATAAATATGTTTATTCGTGAAAGTAACATTAAACATAGGCTTATTTACTGGTCAATATTTCAGAATACTAAACTTTAAATCATCATTAATAAAAAAATTAATTGTTTTTTCAAAAATTACTAATAACCATCATTATTATTATTTAAAATTAGCTTTAGGGATTATTTATTAAGCACAAATTTATTTTCTATTATTTTTAATTGACATTATAAAAAATTTTCTGTTGGCTTTACTATCAAACATTATGTCAAATGCCCAAGTAATTAAATTTTAAAACTCAAAATATATAACTGTTATGTGGTAGACCATATAAATAATCAAGATTCATCCTCAAAATTTAACTATCAAAGGCTTTTTTTAGATACATAAATTTATCTTTCACATAAAATTAAAATTTTGATTTTATAAATAATTCTTTTGGTTATAGTAAAAATTAATTAAAAATTTTCATAAAATATGGGAACTTAAACTTTTCAATACATTTTAATAAATAAATTTGTAATTTATTTAAAATATTATATTAGAAAAATTCTTAAATTTATATAAATTGAAAAAAAAATGCAATAGTAATTTTTAGATAAGAAAATAAGTAAATATTTAGAAATTACATGGCCAGATTCAATAAAAATCAACTACCACACAAGTAAAGTTCTTTAACTTATGTAATTCACATTGTTAAATGATAATTATAACACTAGTATTTTCTCTAATCAAAGTTGCATTAACCTTAATGCAAAAGAAACATTAGCTTTAAAAGGAAAAATAAAAGGGAGTTTAGTTTTCAGAATTATTCACAATATATACACCCAATGTCATGTCTAATTGTTACATTGATTTTTTTTTTTTTAAATTAATTATACAAAAGAAAATTAATCTGAAATATTAAATAAAACGACAATTGTTATCTTAAAATTCCAGAAAGTAGTAGTAATTGTTACCATTACCTGAATGTGAGTTGACATTTTCAGAATTAACATTTGGGTTTGCACTGTACTGTCTTAAAGATAAGTCTAAAACATTGTACAATTTCTCATATAAATAAAATAATTCTTAAAGAAACTTTTTACATATATGTTTATGTTTAATATTCTCTCTAAAAGCTATTGTTTGTGCCTAATAGAATGGGAAAGCCTACAACATATGCACCTAGCTAGAATAATTTCACTTACAAGATGGTACTACAACTTGAGAAATTCTTGGTCTATATTGTACCCTTCCAATATTTTTTAGAAGCCACAAATTCCTTCCAAGTTGATTCCTAATCATATTACTAGCTGCTACAAAAGCCATTGAAAATTTTCAACTATAAATAAAATTACAATAAATATTACAAAATTGGATAATTTTGATTTTACTATACAATTGGAAAAAAAAAGAAAATTAAAATGACAAAACATGCGTATACTACGCTATCACATACCGGCTGAGAGATATTGTTATCACTACAAAAACTGATTTAAAAATTTATTTATGATCAGTTTAACCAACATTGTCACTTTTTATGTATATTTATTAAATAAATAGGCAAAATTTTGAACATTATTAAATTTTAATAAAATTATAAATTTAATCATAAATTTTATATTTCCTTTAATCTAAGCAATTTTTTTTGTAATAAATAAACATTTAACAATAGTTCTCATATAACATATAATTTTAAATAATGCAAATAACAAATACATAATTAATAATTAATTTTTTTTAAAAATGATTCACATTATGTAAACTTTTATTAAAGTTCAGTTGTTATTTTTTTAAATATACACGATGTATGATTTAATTAATGTATTTTTGTTAATCATTTTGATTTACAAGAGCACTTATTTTCAAAATAAATATTTCAAAACAACATTATTTTCATTTTTTTATACACTTTAATTATTAGCGTTATCCAAGGACATAATTTCATTGTATTTGAAACTAAAGTACATTTTTTGATGAAATATTCATGAATTACTTACATTACAATACAATGTACAAAATGTAAGGTACATCATGCCATATTATACCTTTAGTCATGTTTAATGGTTGGTAATGAGATATTTATGTAAAAAAGTATATTTACTGACAAGCTTATTCATTAGGAAATATTTAAATTAATTTAAATATTATAAACTTACTTATATTTTGATCTAATGCTTATTTTGATTTAAAATTTTTACTAAAATAAATCATTTTGTGTTAATTTGTTATAGTGAAAGAAAAAGATATGACCTTTTTTCAATTTTTAATATAAAATCTTAATTTTTGCTCATTTTTTTATTTTTTTTTTTACATTAGCATTTCACATGTATATAAATATAGGGTCAAAGTGATATTTTGAAAAATAAAAATTATATAAGTGTAAAACTAAAAAAAAAAACATCATAGTAAAATTAATACCTTCTCAGCTTCACCGTTGAAGCTAAAATAAAATAACCACTCATTCAATTGGATTAAAGATAGTAGTATACTTTTTAAAATACAGCGCTATTTTACCCAATTCCTAAAAGCAATTGAAAAAATAATATTTCTCAATTTTTATATTCAATTAATTGAAATTAATTGTTTTTCACTTTAAACCTTTCAGCTCTAATGCCTCATTTTTAATTATTTTTTTTTCAAAACTTTATGTTTACACGACTAAATATTTCTAAGAATTTTTTAGTTGGTTATTATTTTGGGGAGGATTATACACCTTATTGGTAAGCGTGCTTCTTAAGAAGGGAAATAAATAAACTCTTTTTATCTTTTGAATCAAGGAAATTTTTGTATTACATTTATTGAGCATCATTCTACTCTGATGCTTTAATTATACATATACTGACACGCAATGTTCATCTAATTTCAATGACACTATTTCAATGAAATCTATAATTATTATAATTGTTAAGTAATTGTGGGTATACTTATTAAGGTATACTCTACTAAGGCTCATCCTGTACTTGGTAGTAATCATTGTTGCTGCAAAAAATAAATACAAGGATAATATTTCCGTAAAAAATAATGTGCACTGATATAACTAACAATTACATAGTGTACTACTATAAAACGGAAATACGTACTAAGTTCTATAATAGTATTCTAAAACATAAATAACGCTGAAAACGTTGGACGCATTTAACAAAAAAAAAAAAAAGAGACGTACATTATTTCAAATTATAATAATGATTTTTTTCAAAAAAGAAGAAGAATTTAAAAAAAATCCTGAACTAAAAGACGAAGATTTAAACCATCTCAAAGAATGGCTGTCTAAACAACCTCATCTTCCTCATGTTAATGGTAATTAAACAATTAATTGACTTTAACACTAAAATAACTCAAGATAAATAGGTTTATAAGTGTTAAATAAACTTGGTAAAATCCTACTTGATAATTAGTTATTTAGTCAATAAAAGTAATAGAACACTAAAATTTAAATGATTTCAGATGAACAGCTTATATTATTTTTGCATAGTTGTTTTTATCGATTGGAATCAACTAAAGCAACAATAGAATCGTATTTTACCTTACGGACACATTCACCTGAATTATTTACAAAGAGAGACAGTGATCTAAAAAATGTTTCAGATGCTTTTTCAATTATGTAAAATTTATAAATACAGTTTAGATATGAGATAAGTCATTTTTTTAATTTTGAAATATTGTAACAATTTATAGAAATTTTTGTTTATTATCTGAATCAACGCCAGAAGGAGATAGAGTTGTTCTAATACAAGGAAAAGAATTAGATCCAGAATGTTTTGTATTGCCAGATTTTATAAAGGCGCTAAGTATGGTTTTGGATATGTTACTAATGACTTCAGGAACTTTCAATGGGCTTATCATAGTGTATGATATGAAAGGTTTTACTCTTGGTCATATTGGTCGAATGGGAATTGGAATGATGAAAAAATACATTTTTTACTTACAGGTGATAATAACCTTGATATATACTTAATATTTAACTACGAAAATTATGCCTATTACACTAACATTGCGTTTACTTTAAATTGAACTTTATTCATTTTCATAGGAAGGTTTACAAGCCCGTTTGAAAGCTATTCATGTTATTAATACAGTTCCGATTATCGATATCATAAACAACATGATAAAACCTTTTATGAAGAAGGAATTGGCGGAAAAGGTAATTATAAAATAACTAATAAATATAATATAACTCATTAAATATAATACTTAAAACCCACGGTTTTAGATATTGTACATTGATCTTATTACATCTTTACCGACTTAAAGTCTATCAAGTAATACTATTAAATAATAATTTTTTCCCCTTCTAAATTACAACTAATCAATATTAATATTATGCCATTATTTCGGTGTATTAATAAAATAAAGAATAAATTAATACTTAAAATTATACTTGGAATTGTTACAAAAATTAAATAAATAGATACCACAATTAGTTTCATAGATATAACTCGATAAGTTAATGACATTTTGTTAACTTATCTTCTAACTCAATTTACTTAAAAAAATAACCAATTAACTATTAACTGGTTAAATTTTTTTAACCAAATTAATTTTTAAGAGGTTTTGTGCTAGAGCATAGTGATCCAAAAATCATAGTGCCTACGACCGAAAAACGGATTGGCGTCTATTTTCTCTTGCTGTTACTTTCTTAATTATTTTAAATAAAAACAAAGTACATTTACTTTATTTTAAAAGTGTGAAAGTAAAAAGAATTGTTATCACATTTCTTTGTTCAAATTTTTCAATGTTACTAAAAATATTTTTCATGTATAATAATATATTTAAAGTTGTCCCGCCCCTAAAATCCTGGATCACTGCATTTTTTGAGATTTTTTATTTTTTTATTAATGTTGTAACTTTTTAAAAGGAAATTTATTTTTGTTATAATGAGTATTAATCTATATTTTAAGATGTGTTAAATAAAGTTTGATATGGGATTGTTTTAAACGCATAATTTCAGATCTCTTTACCGTTAAATTTACTTTATTTTATAAATACAACTATTCATTCATATGGTTTTTATATGAAATTTTCGTCAATAGAAAAGTTTGAAAATAATTAACTAACAAATAGGTTATTTTTTTAAAATAATTTTAATTTATAAAAGAGGAAAATAATTTGTAGCAATTCTATCATGTTGTTGGGTCAGAGGATATTTTTAAATACATACCAAGAAACATAATGCCATCGGATGTTGGAGGTACAGGAAAGTCTATTGCCATCATAAGTGGTAAGCTACAACTTTTAAATTTTAAAAAAGTCGATAAAATCTGGGCTTTATATTTGAAAATAATTATCATTTAACATTTTATGTAATCATAACGTACATATTCAGAGGCATTAATTATAATTATTATTTAAACGTTTAAGGATTTCGTTAACATTTTTATGTAAACGTTAATGTTTTAAGGCATTATAAAATATTAAACGTTTTATAACCGTTTTTTTTATTATAACGTTATTTATATTTAATGTTTTTCTTTTCATTCGTTTTGTTTGGTGTTATGTTTTCAAAACTTATTTAACTTATAGTCATGGTTTTCGTTTTTGAGTTTTATAGTTATCTTTAAACGCAATAAAAAGTTTCCATGCCCTAAATAAAATAAATATAATATAATAAATTTAATATCCTTATTCAGATGAAACTTTTACAAAAGTAAAGGAAATGAAAAGTTGGTTCATTGAGGAAGAAAAATTTAGAGTAAATGAACAAAAAAGACCAGGTAAACCAAAAACTGAAAGTGATTACTTTGGAATGGACGGTTCATTCAAAACTCTTAGTATAGATTAAAGTTATTCATCCAAATTCTCCAGAGGATTTTCCAAAACTGACAATGAATACATAAATTAATGGTTTTCAGGGAAATGTTGAGGTTTTCATATTTTTTTAACCAACACTTATTATTTGTTTTTAAATGTTTTTGTTGTACTTAATTGTTGAATAACATGCACTTTTTAACCAAATTGATGATAAATAAAAAGTGTCTTTGTTGTTGTTTTTAATTATATTTTGTTTTGTACAATTCATCAATTTTTATTAAATTGTTAAAAATTGAGGAACTATAACACCATGGATCAATAACTATTTGTTATTGTTACATTGAGCTCATAACATCAATAAATGCGAGGAAGGAGAAAATGCGTCATATTTACTAGTTGTTTGAAGTTTATCCTAAAATAGATATAGTTTGATTACCGTAAGCAGTTCAACACAGTCCTTATAGGGCACAAGTAAGTGGGTTGTCACTCTCGATCGAACTTCCTCTTCTTATGACTAGTGAATGTTATAAATAAATACACGAGCTTACTATAATTAAGAAAAGTACTATATAACTTCAATTAAAAATATTAGCCAAAAGTTATCAATTCTTATTATTTATAAAAATTACTATAGTTTCAAAACTATTAAATTTTAAACGGCTGAATTATTTTTTTTAATTATCAAGTTTTAAATTATAGTCTGCCGCCGTACATGACTTAATTTAAATTTGAAAATAATCAGTCATATAGGGTAATGTAGAGATACTTCTTGTAAATATTTACTGCCATCTATTTATGAAAAATATTTTTTAAGGAGATTGTAGCGCAATTGGAGAAGCTTTAGCATAATTAAGTATTTATCTCATGATGTGTGTTGTTTTAAAAGATACTAGTATTCTAAGTTTATAATTATAATTTATATTTTGAAAGTAAGAAAACCAGTAAATTTATATAGAACGAACTTTTTTTGTATAAATTGTTTTGTTTCAATCTAGACCCAAAAAAAATCTGGCCATTCCCTATATAATAACGTAAAAACGCCCACAGATTACCTCATAAATACTTTCGAATTGTTACATATCCGTTTTAGTAAAACTGATGAAGACCAAATCATTTATACAATCAACTTGTAGTATTCAAGAAATATTGCATTAAAAAAATACAACAACAAATAGTGTAATATCTAGTTAATATTTTTTTTTATTGCAATCTTAGTAAAAATCTAGTGTTATCAAATTGAACGATTTTATATATTATTAAAATATTGAAAATGTCAAAAATATTTTTCAGTTTCACACATCTGTGCATACCTTAAACTATTCGTATTTGGCCAATTCACAATTGACCTTTGGAATGAAACCAAAAGATAAAAATAATCACTACTCATCAACATTGTGTCATCCCCGATATTTTTAAACTATCATGATAATAATTTTCACCTTTTTTATTTATTTTTATTAAAAACAAATAATGAGCTTAATAAATTATCACTAACATTTTTAACATATACCTAGGATTTAAAGAATATATAAGTATCATGATGATTTCCGAGATAATTAACAAAGAAGAAATATTTTACAATTGAAAAATTAAATAAAAATTAGTTAAATAATTAAAAACCCTAGAAAATTTATTTTTAATAATTTAAAATTAAGAAAAAGTTAAAATAATATTTTGGGAGGTAATTTATAACGTATAGAATGTCCGATTGTAAATTAAATATATGTATATATATATTTTTATTTTTTGTTTTTCTTGTTATTCCTAAAACAACCTTGTGATCATTAAGGTGGTATGTTTATTTTTGTTAATGTTAGAATGCTAAGAATATTGAGCCAAAATGTTAATGAATTTCAATAGTGTGAATAAAATTTTAACATAAAATATCGTTATTTAGGAATTGCTTCAAGTAGGTTTATTATCTCAAACTTAATATTTTTAATAAAAAACATTTAGCGGATGTTTTTAATTTTATAATTTTAAAACTAACATTTCGATGAAGGACTGTATTTTGTTTTCTTCGAGTCGTCAGCGTTTTAAAAAACGTTAATCATATAATTATAAATTTACACTAAATTAAAAACCAAATTATTTGCTTGTTTATCTTCACAGAGTTCACTATTATCCTAACTCATATTCTGGAAAATATTTATGCCTCTTCCCTATGATTCGTAAGAACTTTTTATTTTTATATTTAGTAAACGCCATCAGCCACCAGTATGTTTAAATATTGTTAAAAGTGCCTGGGCTCAGAGAGTGCGTGTTTCTCTATAAGATTACATTTTTTAATTGTATTCACGTTATATGACCTAAAAACTCAAGCAGTGCTGGAAATCAATCGTTACACTATTAAATTAACATATACAATTTCCCTACAAAGTAATATATAAGTCAATAGATATTCAGTGGATGTATATCAAGTTACCACGGCATGGTACCATCAAATATGTACTTGGTTAATTGATCAGCGAGCACTTAGTTTCAAATTCTGTCCCTCCAGTTGTAACCCGACATTTTTATGCAACGTCTTCTTGACAATTCGAAAAACGATTTGTCATCCTGTATAGAACCCCTAACAGACAATAAACGTTGATGTATCTCAAAAAAGTTTAGGAGTGGATATAATGGAACTAAATACGGGGGGACTTAGTATCATATTATTTTGGGTATCAATTTTATTACAATAGCAGACATCTGTCGATTTACTTTCAAGTCATTTTCTCTTTGAAACGCTAATTCAAAATGATTATTCGATATTCAGCTTCAATAATTCACACGCTTTTATTCAGATTTAAAAGCTGTATAATTTAAAGTGAACGATAATCAATTTTTAAAAGATGTACAGCTTTCTTAACAATTTAGATTAAAAAATATATACATTTTTTACATTAAAACAAGATTGGGATTGCATTTAGTAAAAATAACCAACAAGAATAGCGTTGTTTGTCTTATTTTTTTACAAGCACATTAAAAATTAGTGGATGTTGTATAATAAATTATGTGACAGGTTGAACGTGAAAATAACAAAAATATAAACAGTCAGCCAAAAATTAAATATAAAAACAAAGCATTAGGTTTGTATGTATTATCAGTTGTTCGACATCACAACAAATGAAATCATTTATTTTTCATGACTTATTATATGTTTTTATTTCCGACGTTAGTTTATTTGAGAAAGCAGTCTCATGAATTTGCATTATTCATAGTATATTTACTTGAATATCAATATATTGTATAATAATCTGTTACCGTTCGATTTAATTTATGAATATTGAAACAACGCTTCCATATATTTAAATATAAATTTATAACATAGATTTTTAATACAAGTGTCACCGCCAATGTTTATACGACGTTAATATATTTGGTTGTTCATGTATATAATGAGTTAATTAGCTTACAATCTTATAAGATAATACATGGATTATTATTTTTTGGGGGTGAAAACTCGAAGAATCGCAATAAAACGGTATGAGCGCAACCAATCGTTTTTACGACATAAGAAGCAGCTGTGCCAAAAGCGGTTGTGGTCGTAAAATACTGCGTCAGTCAACGGTGACGTCATGGCGAAGAGATGGACAGCAGCTGTGAGTCACCGGTACCCGTTTAGATTTTAGCATAGTCAAAAAGTACACACGAACACGATCACATTGTTTTGCGGCGGCTGTTGAAACATTTCTATAAACGGACCACGTTTGTGAACCGATTACCGTAGTCAATGATGTGTGTGTGTGTGTGTGTGTGTTATGTACTTTGTGGGACCACTCAGGAAAAAAGTGTAGGGGCAAATAATGCGTGTGTGTGTGTCTGTTACAGTTCATCAGGTAATCAAACTCTCCACTGACCGGAACACGTAATTGCGTGGGTACGGAAATTTAGAAAATTTTTTATAATGTTATGTAAAAACGTTGAACTAAACAAACCAAATACTTATTTGGTAGTCGCCATATTCATCAGTGCGTGTGATTTACATGCAGTGGCGCCGTAACTTTGGCAAAAATCCAAGGGGTCCTGAAATTGTGCGAAGCTCACAATCCACCTTATTAATTTACAGAGTGATTCTTTTAACGCTAATCAAAAGTTTAAGTGGTAGTTATAGTAACCATATGATTTCTATAACTCCCACTTGAATTTTTGGCCACCGTTAAAAGGGTCACTCCTCTGTAGGTCGCTCTGTAATGCCGTTATCGTTATATTTTGATGTAGAATGTCTGTATATGTTGGCAATTGTGGTTGATCGGTAACTAATACTGAAACATCAATTTTATTCAAAATAACGATTCTATTATAAATGTACAACCGTTGTCCGCGCAAGGACGGGACAAGTGCTTCGGTCTCTGCATTTAGCAGTGACTCAGTTAGGGTTTGTTTTTTTAATATAAATAAGAAAAAAATGTATAATCGCCTCTAAACGGAAAAAATAGTACCTTGATCATGCAATCATTTTTACCGGGGCAATATATCCCACTTCAATACCCTCCCTCCTGGTATAGGCATCCCGAAAATTATGATTTGCCCCGGACCTCATCAAATTTAGTGCCTTAGTACAACATATGTCCACAATAGTTATTTATTCATGCAACGACACATTTCCAATTCACTCTTAGTAACTATAAATGATAATATCAATTATTTTTTATTTACTACAATTGTTTTATATTTATTTACATGTCTCCTTCAAAACATAACATTGATATGGCTGTGTTTTAAGTGAATATATTCACTCAAAACTTTAAGTAAATTATGAAAATTATAAATAAAAAAATTATAATTATGATAATCATAATAATAAGTATTATTTCAAAAAATAACGTTATCATTTATATGCTAGCATTAAGTGACCAAACATGTAAAGCGGCACAGTTAAAGTTAATCTGATGTTTTTTTTATTTCTAAAGGGATCTAGATAAGCGAAGTAATATCACAAACTATATAAAAACTGTTTTTACATAGTCTGCGGTAATGATTTTAATCAAATGAATTACACTTTTAAGCAATACTAGTTTTAGTCTATTGATATTCGTTCAAGTGAATGTAATATAAGATTGAATATCCAAAATGCTTTACGCTCACTAATTTTTTAAATCAACAGTATCTAATTATCTTTTTTTATTGATTAATGTTACCTATAATTAAACAAATTGGTTATATTAACGTAAAAATAATACTATACAAGTGTTTTAATTACTGTCAACGCACAATTTTGGTGTTATATTGTAAAAGTTATACTAAAAAAGATTAATATCTCCTCCATAGATTTTACATTGTTGAATGCATGTAAAAAATGGTTTTATTGGAAGCTATGTCCCTCAAGCCACCTTCCAAATTCCCTCAATATTTTGGTGATGAAGTTGATCATATTTTCCATGATTAATTATTGTAATTAATTTAATATAAAAAATGTAATTAAAAATTGATTTTTTTTAAAATGACCGTCTAGTGATTTTAGATAAATATCTTTTATAAATTATAGCAAATAGTTTTCATAAAGAACAATGTAATTATTGAACATTTTTAAATACTACCAGAGGCATATTTTGTGAGGCGCTAGTATGCTGTAGTACTCCTTGTGATCATGTCGAAAAACAGTTTAATAAAAATATAAGAAAGTCTACAGGTCAAAAAACTTAATTAGGTTGCCGTCAGAACGAAAACTTTTTTTCTTAGCAGCTCCCCCATATAATAATTATAGATCCGCTCATGAATATTACTTAAAATCAATAATAATTTAAATATATTTTAAAATAACTATTTTAATATACAGAAACTTTTAAAGGCTTAACTTTACATCAACCCATTTTATGTAGCATTAATCACTTGCGTAAATCAGGTTGTCATGTAAAGGTACCGTTTCTTTTACTCGTATGAATATTACTTGAACACGCGGTACTATGACAACCGTTGCACAGGTCACATGTGGTAACTTGTCACACGTAGTAGTATTATTTTTAAACAAATCTAATGAAATGTTGACAACGCAAAACCTGCGAACGGTATTTTGATGTGAGGTAGGTGCAAGAGTGACGTCGAGAAACTTCTAGAATATTAAGATGCGTAATGAAAGTAATAATAAATTGATACGTCATTAATTCACCGCAGTGCTTTAGTGTGTAGCTTACAAAAATAATCGCCTACGCTAACACCGAGGATTACAATTATTTGTGGGGGTACATATGTAGGAAAATTAAAAGACGGTAGGTGAAAAATCGACTTCTTTGGTAACGGCGGGGCCCAAGTGATCGCCTACACCGAACGGAGCGCTCCCAGCGTTGTGGCGGCGGCGGCGGCGACGACAGCATCCGCTGGTGAACAGCGGCGCCGGTGGGCGTTCGATATTTTCCACTAAAATATAAACCAGGCGAGCAGCCACCGAGCGGTAGTGTACATCAGTACTCGACGCAAGTTGGACGCCCTTAGCCGTGAACATTTTCAGTAATATTCGCTACCCCAAATTGTTCGTTCGGTTCGTTTTTAGTTGTTTGAATATTAAATGGCGCACAACAGTGGAGTGAAAAGAGATATCCCCATAAAATTGGGTGACTTCAGCGTTATCGACTCGGAGTTCAGCAACATTCGTGAACGGTTTGACGCTGAAATGCGCAAAATGGAAGACGAAATGACTAAATTCCGTTCAGAACTCATGAACAGAGAATCGAACTTCTTCAAGACATCAACAAAGTCAGTACTTAATTTAATTTAACATGTATTTTGATAGTTACTGCAACGCTATAAACTCTCCGGTGTTTCAATATCAATTTGAGATATTGTTTCTCTATAATTGTTAGTCATTTGTTTTTTTTTTTTTTTTATTGAATAATTCAAAATTTATTAATATATTTGTTTTTATGTGCAATCTATTACTTGAATAAATAAATAAAAAGGACATCACATGTGGAAGAAAAGTCCTTGTAAGTACATTCATAAAGCGGCATTTTAATTAGCATCAAATGTATTGTAAAATTATTAGCATGTGCATTTTGAATCGTTCAGCACTGGCGATTAACGTCATGCATTGTTAAGATTGCGTTGTTTTAGGTGTGTTGCACGCGGGGCACATATGCTGAACATTTTCCTTAATGCACTCCATCATTATTCCATTGTTTTCGCTGTCATATGCTAATGGGAAACCGCTCAATGTATTTGCTTGTTCGTGATTTGTAAAAAAAAATATATCACGTTGAATATTTCGTTGCGCTAAACATTTCTTGAACGCGTGGGATCGCCTTAAGATTGTAAATATTATAATAGATTTGACGGTATGATGATTTTGACTACTTAATAGAGAGAAATCACATATCTTTACAACCGGTTCGGAAGTCCAGGAAGCAACTGGAACCACTTCGGTCGATGGTAAACGTGCCGGTGAATCATTTCGGCCGTGTGTTGACATTGATTACGCTAAACAATGAACTAGGTCGTGATGGGAATGGTATTTTATATTTTTTTGCGGCGCGCTTCAGCAATTACGGCACGGACAGATAGACGCGTATTTATAATTTTATTTTTTCACAGCCTCTGTATTATAATGCGCGGTATGATCTTTTTAATGGTGTGCTGGCTAGCGTCTGTGTGGCAGCTTTGTTATAATAGAGGAACTCACAATACGAGGACGGTAACGTACGTCGTGACCCAGCGAATTTCGCTTTTGACGCTCTTAGAATGACTTACGGATTTGTTTCTCAGACAGTCGTAAAAAATGAGCTTCTTTCATTTTTTCGGGTACATTATGAGATATCGTGATTGTAACTGAACTGTGCGCGTATCGCTATCACTTAAGCGACACAAACTATAAACAATATTTATTAATTTTCAAACGAACCGTGTGTGAATTACTGCTGATATCGCATAAAAAATTGTATACAGCATATCTGCATGTTTAATGAGCCATGTAAATAGAGCAAATACTGAAAAATAAAATTATATGTTTAATAGTTATGTAATAAAATATGAACCATTTTAATGTACGAGTGCCTATATGATTTATTACTATAAGTCAGTCGCCAACGTGTTTTTTAAATGTTTTGAACTTAATTGGCGTTACAATTGTGCAGGTTTTTTTTTTCTTGAAATTATTTGCCTATTTCGTTGTATTAGCTGTTGAAGTATATAGTCAAATCGCACGCTATCAGAAGCTATAAACTCATTAAGATTTTTTCTGGTATTTATAATTGCATGTTCATATATATTAATTTAGCGGAGAACAATTATGATTATTTTTTTTAAATATTAATAAATTCTGATCCGTAACGTCATTACACAAGAAATACTCGTGTCTCGGTTACTACTGCTTTGTTAAAATGAAATTAACTAACCATGATACCTGTTTAATAAGTAAGAAATATTTTTTTTATAACAATACAACAACTAATGCGACTACCTTCACAAAGTTCGTACAAAAACCTTTTAATGACATTTAAAACATTTGTTGAAAAATTTCATACAAAAATCTTTTCTTTCTAAAACACACTGAAAATTGCAAAAAAAATTGATAAATGTCATATTGTGAAATTACCAAATTGTTCTATTTTTTTATTCAAAAATTCATTATTTTCAGTAAAAATACAAATACTAAATGGTGAAATTCGGTTGATAACAAAAATAATAATAATAATTCACTCCAACGTTTTACATTTTCCAATTAGTATATTTTTTTCGCTAACTAATTTAAAATAGTAAATAAAACGAAGCCAATTAATATAGCAGTGTTATTATTTGGGAGATCTACTTCTACATCATTAGTGAAAGTCAACATAGACATTTTTTATAATTTTTTTTTTAGCCAAACCTTGAACAAACAATTTGTAAAAGACTTTTTTTTTTATAAAAACGTTAATAGTTATAGTATATGCACGTACCAAGGTGATTAGCTTTGTGTACATATTGCGACCCTAAAATAATATTTTTACTTAATATGCGCAATGTTATGTTTTATTGGCGCGCTGCATACATTTCAGTTATTGTATTTAACGCAAAGACTCATTAACTTCGGCTTGTGACCTTCTGTCGGCCGAATGAAAAATGCAATAAGCTGTTTTTGCGTGGGCCCATTTGAATTAATCATTGATTGTAAACAAATGTAACCAAAATGGGTAATTTTCACACTCGTCCCACGGTCATCCAATAGAATCAACGCAAACAAAAATAAAATATTACTCAAAGCAGTATTATATAAATATTATGTAAACTTTATTACCGTATTTGAAAATAAAACTTTCGTTGCACAATTTTTGGTTCAGCTGCACTTGGGATAAATGTCATAATTTGTGTTCGTCTCGTTTATGGCACGCTATTTTATGGTGTAAATATGTCTGTTATTAAAACAGTCGGTCTTCAGCAAGCATGTTTTATTTTAATTAACACGTTCGCCAACTTACGCTAATTGTTTCTTGGGTTTTTTTTTTTAGCTCTTCAAACACTATCACATCCAATCACAGTGACTTACCGTCTAGCCGATTGACAACCACATCCAATCCAAGTGGATGGGTCGAAAATATCAACTCGCCCTTGATCCAAGAAGACGGTGACAACAAATGCTTGAAGCTCAGGTTCGATGTAAGCCAATACGAACCCGAAGAAATCGTAGTCAAGACAGTCGATAACAAACTTCTGGTAAGTCTCCCCCACTCGACACTAATAGTCAGTAGTCTACCCGTTGGTGATGTCAAGTACTATGTTTTAATAATTGTAATAACGGAGAAAACCGCACTCTCCAACGGGTACCGGATATGTTTGTCGATTTCTTCTCGATAATCTGTGTGATATACAGTAATATATTCTATTAATAGGATTGGTGCGCGTGGCGGATAGTCCGGTTTTTTAAGCGTGACGGCGGCGACCCGTAAAGCCGGAAACGCATTTCAGACGTGTGGGTGACGTGTTTTTGTAACTGTTGTGGCCGTGTAAGGTGTTGCCATCGCAAACAATAACGAATTAATTGTCCCTCCTCTCTTCTACTCTTCCGAAAATGGCACGCTTCATCTGCAAAGACCTTCATTCTTCGTTTAATTCGTTTAAAACACATACTACTAATGAGGAAACCTTGACGCTTCTATTTCAACTCGGATACAAACTATCAATTTTCAAAAAAAAGTCCGTGTTTATTATTAAGTTTTATTTTATTTTGCATTATAATTTTTACAATACAATTAGTCACATATCGCGATACTGTTCGATTTTAACTGGGGTATTTTTCGTTACTTTTAAGTAGTGCGAAACGTTTTGATCTTTGTTGTCCTCGTACATGTTTGCACACGAGTTCACGTCTTTTTGTCGTATAGGAGTGGTATATTTTTATTTGAATACCCACACACACACCTGAAAAACCAACCCACGCCTTATCCGAGACCTTGCATACTATGGCACCCGTATAAACTCCATAAATGGCCAAAAGCCTTCGGACAGCTAATGCTTTGATCTCTAATGTACAGATATTTTCGAATATCCAAACAAGTCTTTTAAGTAACCGCTTGCCTTGCATTCAGGTCAAGAATTAATCATATGACCAATTAAAGATGTGCCGAGAAGGACCGTTGTATAATATCATGTGAAGGAACTGCGGGTTAAATCGTGTATGCTATTTATATAATTTGATTTCGTGTCGAACGCAAACGAGTTCAGCCATTTTTTAACCGTTCATTTTTCTTCGCTTTATGCGAGTACAAGCTATTAAAATGTCAAACGTATTTTAATTGAAAATTATGTTTGTGCGCTGACAAGGTACAATTGTTGGATCGTTTAACGCGTACCGGGCCATGTGTAAAAAATAATATTTTGTTTTAATGTTTGAATCGCCGTCGACTCGGTAGTATTTTTATATATTATTTTGTTCACATTGCGCTCTAATAATTTTCGTATAAAATCAGTGAACTAATTTATTCTGGTGGTATCGAGGACTCGAATGAAATATTATCTGAATAAATCATATTTCCTCTTAACAAGAGCATCGACCGATTTTCTTCATTTGTTTAAACAGAAGTATGCCATTCGTTTTGAAATATTTTAACACTTATCTCAACTGGCGTACAGATTAAAAGCGTTAGTAAAAAAATTAAATGTCCTCTTTTTAAATGATTACACTTTTTGATTCAACTATTATTTGAAGGTTTCTTATTTTGATTTTAAGTTATGTCTGTTAATGTGGCAATTTACGTTTTTTAGGTACATGCCAAACATGAAGAAAAATCAGATTCGAAATCCGTATACAGGGAGTACAATCGGGAGTTCTTGCTTCCAAAAGGAACCAATCCAGAAGCCATTAAGTCTTCTCTGAGCAAAGACGGTGTTCTGACCGTAGAAGCTCCATTGCCGCCCGCTCTCGCTGGCCCAGACAAATTGATTCCAATCTCTCACCATTAAGTTTTTTTATTCACCTTACCACCTAGTAAACCAATTTTAGACAGCATCAAAACACAAAAACAAAATATTTATAATTTTAATATATTATTATTTTTATTTGTAATTCATACAAAGTGTATTTGTTTCTATATTTTTTTTCATCAGTTTGCCATTTATTTTTATTTATTTATTTTTGTTGAAAGTTGTTTTATAAATATGTTTAAATCATACCTAAATAGTTGTAACATTTTATTGCTCGTGGCATCATATACTGTTGAGTAATTAATTGCGCCTAAAGATGGTCTAAATGACTTTAGAAAAAAATAAGAGCTATGGTATTCACATTTCATGCTGAAATTTTATTTACACTAGTTCCTATAAATATTTTATAAAGAGCAAAGCTATATATATATATACCAATATTTTTATTGATGTTTTATTAATTATATATTAGTAATTGAAAGTACATATTTTTCAAAAGATAAAACATTTATTTATTATAGATGGCTAATATTTATTTTTTTATTAATGCAGTAGCGTGGCAAAAATACAGAAAACTGATTGTAATACACCTAAATTATTATTACATTGTTAAAAGATATGTCATTGACTAATATAAACAAATATAAACTATTTGCATTTTCCATACTGATTTTTTTTATTGAATTGATAATGCCAAAATACCTCAATCCGATACACGGGTTGTAACTCTAAAATTATCCTAAAATGCCTCTGGAACATATTTAGAATCGCCACCGACGCTAATCGCAGTTAGTTTTGGACTCAGTTCAACACTCAAACCCGATAGTAGCTAAATCTTCATTCGAGTGCACAAAACACGAAAATAGATTGTTCTCTGACAGCCTATATAATCTCTCCGACATGTGGACATTCTTGTATATTTTTTTATTCCCCAAAATTCAGGTCATTCTTTTGACATTAAGATATGCCAAGCTAATGACGCAATATGGTAAGATTAACTAGTCCTTCGAAACATAATACGTAATTTTTCCTAATAAAGGTTAGTTTTAAATGATATATTTTTGGGTATTTAATGGATCTATTATACAGGGTGTTCAGTAATCGTATAACACTTATTCATAAATCAAATGTTTTTATTATGAAAACATGATTGTTGCTAAATTTTATTTTTCAAAGTTTGAACGTGGAAACAATGTGGATTTCTGAAAATTGGGATTAAAAATAAACAGGAGGTCAAAACCCTCTCATAATATATTTCTTGCTCTTTAGACAATTGTAACCATTAAATTATATACGAAAGGTTCAGTTCATAACGATTACTTCTAAATTATTAGATTATTTATTTTCACAAAAACTGTGTCAGTGAGATAAATATTGGAATGAATAATTTTTTTTTTAGATTTTTTAAAGGAATTTATAATACTATTGAACGGATTAAGACATGATCGTCGTTCCTTAGATAACACGTTCTAGAAAACGCAGCTTGAACTGTTATCAGGAATTCGGTTATAATAGATCGTTAAACATTTACATATTATCAGGTAACAAAACAACAATAAGTTTCAAGCAGAGTTGATTACAATTATAAAAATCCGTTGTAATCCATACATTTTTTACTTAAGGCATTCCTATCAAATATTGTTATTATTTATTTACTTGATATTTTTTATTTTATTCAAGTATACTGTTCTTTTAAATATGTTTGCTTAAATTATCTGTATACAGGTGATCCGTTTATCATTACCTACTCAACTATTTATAAGATAAAACAATTTCAGAAATATTTATTTTGGCTTCTTTCAGTTACATATATTTCTTGATTTATCAATTATTAAGTACTTTTTCAGTTCATCTATTATGCCCTATAAGGGAGTCGATTATATATGTATAAAATACATATAAAATATTTTAAATTAATACGTATTACTACTCAAAATTATTAGTTTATAAATAAAATCAATATTTTTATGGAATGTTTTTATATCAAGGCATAAAGTAATAAACACTAAGTCGGTAAATACGTTTCTTAATTTCAATTAAAGTATTAAAAAGAAATATTCCGTGTTCAATGAATGTACATCATAAATGATACATTACTTTGGTGTTGTTAATAAAATGTGAGTCGCATTAATCAATAAAATTTCAAAAGTCAATCATATAACTACCTTAGTGACACGCCCTATTCATTTTATAATAGACAAAAAAAGAATTTCAAATATAGTAAAATAGTTCATAATAGCCATAATATTTTATGTTTAGTTTTTTATTATTTTAAAAACTGATGCATGCATTATACAGTTGCTATTTTGTAGTATTATTTTTGAACTAATATTGTAAAATTAAAATATTATTTTAAATTTAATAGGTAACGTAATATAAGTTCAAGTAATTTAATTATCAATACCTATATGAACATTTAGAAATCGTTAACATATTTGAAAAAATAATAGCTCAATTGGCTATTTTTGTAATAAATTATGAATTAGTGTGGTAATAAAAAGTTTATGTGAATTTTCTTTAGACAGTTTTTTCATAATAGACTTTAGTAGCAAAATGTATTCTAATATAACTTTAAATGGTCGTATGTTCATAAATATAAATAATTTCACATATAAGAAGAAATTAGTATAAATTAATTAAATATAGAAAATTCAAAATTTACATATCGAATGACATAAATTAAATATATTTATGAATCGATTTTAAGAAAAAATTTTTTTTCAATTCGATTTTTGAAAATGAAATATTTGAAAATGTTTTAGAAGGTTTAACAACTTCTGAGCTATATCAAATTAAAATTTTGAAAAAATCTACAATATATAAAAAAATGACATCTATCCACTTTTTTCTTTTTTTTTTTTTCATTTTGTTATAACTATTTCAAAAATATTTCGTAATGAAATAATAGACGAATTATTCAACAGAGATTTTAAATTTTATTGAAATTTTAAAACGTAGAAATTGTGAAATCACAATTATTTTGAAATTTAACAGACTCGCATTGTAACGTTTTTATAAAAGTGATGTGAATCTTGTCAGTGAATTATGCTTATCCCAACTATGCCGAAATCATATTAAATTAGCTTTATTTTTTACAATGTCAGATTTACCAATTAGTTCATTGTTGTGTTAGGGAAATATTTTATAATATATATTAAATTTGTACATTGTATATACTAAAATATAATACAATAAAGAACAATAGAAAATAAATAAATATCAAGTACTTAAGTTTTGTATTTGTGAGAATGAAAACCGAAGGAATGAAATCTAAAGTGAAATCTAAATGTTGCACGGCACCACCCAGTCAGATAAACTGATAAGGTTTGAGGTCGACAAAACTTTCTTTGTATTGGTTCATCTGATATACTTATTGAAAATGAATATGGTGCGTGTTAAGGTCATACATCTGATTATGGTTATACACCTAATAACTTAAAAGTTATTAATTAGTTCTTTATAGTTCAATTTAATGTGATTTAAACATACACATATATATGTATACAACTTGAATTTATAATTAACAAAAAAAGTCTGATTTAATTGATATAAATTTACTTAAATAAACTTTTATACGATAAATTTGATTGAATTTAGTCTATTTTAAAGATATCTTTCACTAAACAACTTATTAATTAAATTTATATAGAGATGTGCTGGGCCAACATGGAGTTAAGGAACTCTAGGTAAATGCCTGGTGTTCTAATAATGCATTTAACTACTGTTTTCTTAATAAAGAAGTAAGTATGGTTTTTTTCTATGTAAAAAATATGCCCACAAAACGACTGCCTAAGGATGTCATACTTTACATAGGTTATACAGGTAAAATCATAAAATAGTACATTTAAATCAGTAGTGTCAAATCATTTTTGAAAGGAGCGTCAAACAGAACTTTTAAAATGGACAAAAAAAAAGTGTGCACTTGTTATGTTCATTATTTCAATTTTTTTATTAAATTATATTATTGACAACTTATTATACAATGTGATCCAAATTTGGCAAGACACTTATTATTTCAGAAACTACCGAGATTTTTAAGTTTTTATAAATAGAAAAAATAAGTTACAAAAGGTTTTCATATAAATTTCAATAGTTACCCCTAAAAATTATTTTTTCTTACATGTATACTTTGAATTATAATAATAAATCTAATTTAAATCTATTAGACATTTAGTATAGTAGATCGTTTGATGTTAAAATAACTTAAAATATTTTATTGAATTGAGTGGCGATAGTTTTATACATTTTAGTGGAACAGTTATGAGTTTTAATTCTAAATTTAATATTAAGCTTAAATTCATACATTTTATACTTTTTTTTTATAAAAATGAGTAGATAATATTAGAAATTAACAAGCTTGTAAATAAGTCGTGGAATTACATGCATTTATTAATTAAGACACTCTAAGCAAATACCTGGTCTTTATTTATTAATTTTGTTAAGTTATTCTGAACATAACAACAGCCAGCACAAATTTTTGTTAAATTATTTGAAAACACAGTAATGTGTTGTTGCCCAAGTTATAGTTTGGAGGAGATTTGGGAGGTTAATCTTCTTAAAACGAAAAATATCTCTACGCTACTATATAATCCTATGATAAAGTTGAACAAACTTGGGATCCTTTTAAATGGCTTAAAAAAAATTAATGAATATGTATAAATGTAATTGAACATAACAATAAATATATATTTAATAATTCTGGACTCTAATTATAAACAATAAATGCTTAATAATAAAATTTCATACGTAAAGTTTGGAAAACAATTCGAGTTGGCCAGATTGATTTTACTCCTAAATAAAATTATTTTTATATAATATTGCCAATTTTTGGGTAGCTTATTTTGTCATTGGAGGGCTTGCTCTAAAAGGCACCAAACTTCGCCAACGTTAAGTTATATTAATACACAAATACAGAGCTATAACAGTATTTGTTATTTAATATATGATAAATTTTCTGACTAATCTATAATATAAACCTTAAATTGCCTTCTTTTTCCTCGCCTTAATCCGAACTATTTGGGGTCGGCTTAAACCTTAAATTGTAATTAGTGTAATTTATAGAAAAAAAAAAAAAAATTATAAATATGTACATAATTAACACATTTTTTATCTTAATTTTATATAGAAACATATTTTTGCAATCGCGTGAACATGATTTTGGTAGGTACATTAGATTGACAAAAAAAAATTAAGTAAACCCGTTTTAGTTTGGATTAGTAAACGGTTAATAACTTTTAAAAATTGATATTATAACCATTTTAAAGTATATACATAATAAATGAACCAATCAACTTATAATGTTTATATAGTATTTTCCTTTATTTTATAGTAAATTTACAAAATTTTAACTTTAAAGAGATCGCTAAGTTTTAACTACTAAAATTACATATTACTAATATTGTAAAAAGATTTTGATATAATATCCTTATTAGTGTATATAAATTTACTAAAAAAACCATTTTAACTGAAGTTTTTAGAAGTTAAGGAACATTTCCGGTCAAGTTGATCATCTAGAAATATTTCATGGAGTTTATTATGTGCCTCTGAAGAAAAGGGTGGGCAACTTTGTAAATTAAATGTAAACACTTGTGGTTAATTTTATTTTATGATCAAATATTTAAGTCGTCTGCGACCAAGATTCCATTCGTCAGTGAGCACAATGCTTAATACGAGTGCTTGTAAGACACTGCTGTGATTTATTATTTCAGTTACGTCATCCATTCATATAAATATAATTTTTATTTCTAATAAATATATTTTTTAGAATTTATAGTGCAACAGAGTCGTGCTAACACGGGACTCAATAGTATAACCTCTTGATAAAAATATTTAAATGATAAATGATGTATTTTATATTTATGTATATTAAATATCTACGTAATGAGTTTTGTTTATATGTTACTTAAAATTAAAAATTACATCACAAATTAAATATTTAACTCTAAAGTGCTTTAAGCTTTGTATGACTGTAGTAAACGTATGAAATAAAACCATTATGGTCAAAACTTATGTCGGTTATTGGCTTTCTTGGCCATTGAACTGGAGCTGCCAAACTGTGATAGTTGAAATGAACTAGCACGCGACGGATTATGTGGTACGGAAGCTGTGCTGCTTCGAGTTCTGGTCGTCCCCGTGTACTGATGTTGCATACACGACGATGAGAAGCTTGGGAATCGGCGTGGATCGCGTAGACGGAACAGTCGAATGATCCGTGTCCGCAAAGAGTTGGGCGCACGGTCTAATAACAAGTCAAGCACTGAACGCTTCCAACAGAATATGAAGAACACAAAGACACCTCGAAGCGAATTGATAGCATCAGTTACATACCAATAATATGCAGGTCCTTGGACGGCCCATGATATTACCTCAAACACAAACGTAACGCCCATCAAACAAAAAAGTTTTGCATAAAGAGCCAATCTGTTATAAAATAAAATTCATCATAAATACATCTTTATTAATTTAGTAATGGATTTTTTGTGTAAACAGTAGTCTAGTATGTGATTATGTAATAGGCGTTTTCGTTTTAACGCAATTTTAAGGCGTTTTAGATATGCAACTTAAGTGCACCTAAGGTTGTTTAAAAATGTATTATTTTATGAAATTGAATTTTTGTAGTTCAAATTAATAAGCTAAAAACCATGTCCTCTAGGTATAAATGAAAAGTGTCTACATTTAATTTATTAAAATATAATTATGAAATAATTGTATCACGTTTGATTTAATATCTATGTTAAAAAGGACATATTAGGTGACAAGAATTGATTCATCAATTCTTTTAAAAAAAAATAAAATATACAATTGAAAATTTTATTAATGTTAAAATAAAGAAAAGAGTTTAGAATATTTAATGATAAACTAAATTTCTGATTTTCAGTAAATAAAGGATTCATCAGTTAAACTTTTTAATGTAACCTTGTATTTTATGAGATTGGCGAGTTTTATCGTTTTAGACATACCCATAGCACACTCTATCGATGAAAATAAATAACACTAATATAAACTAATAGCAGAAAAAATTCAAGTAAAAATTAAAAGTAAGGTTCACAACTTGCTTATTTTTATGTACCTGTTATTTCATTTGAAAAAATTAAAAAAAATATGCCTAATTTTTCTCTGTTTTTAACCAAATATAATTTATAGAGTAAAATTATATACTATGCTCCTTATAGTTTTACCTTGTGTTATTTTGGTTGGTTTGGCGATTCAACACTTTGGATGTAACTCTTCGCATGAAAAGAATTCTTAATGCAGTGAACAGGAACAATATAAAATTAGTCAATAAGAGTATTCCAATCGGGGCATAAAAAAATATACCGACTGACATTTTATCTGAAAATTGAAATAAAATGTGAACTGTTTATAAAATTAGGAACCTAATAATCAGTTATTAATTTAATGATAAGGTCACGCATCTTACGTGTTATGAGTTTTTTTTTTACTAAGAATAAGTTATTGCGTAAAAACTTTCACCTTAAAGTAATAGTTTTATTGAGCTGTCTCATTTATAATTTTTATATTAAAGTCATTTAACTCATATGAATTTAGGTACTTACTGGAGAACCAACAATCTCTTTGGCCAAAATTTGGCTTAAATTGAGGGCTACTGACTAGAAGATTAGTAAACTCGGCGACTGCTGTCAATGCAGATATGACAATGCTACTGCCCCAAGCATACGCAGAATAAATTATGTACTTTTTTTTCTCATTTTCTATTTTATTTGAATATGTAAGCAATCTCAATCCACTGATATATAAAGAAACATAAGTCAATAAATAGTAGGGCGATTTGAAATTTTAATTCAACATACCTGAACGTCCATGCTATATCTGCACACATAACGTTAAGCCAAAAAAATGCTGCCAAAAATGAAAATTGAATGACGAAAGCTAAAATAAATAAATTTATATTTACTATCACATGTACATTGTTTTATACATAGAATTTAATAAATATTTCGATTAAACTTAAATATTATGTATTAAATTATTTATAAGATTATATACCATTAAGTGTAATTGTATTCTTTTGAAGGAAGGGATGTCGTCAGTGATAAATGAAATTACAAATAAATAAGAAGTTCAACCATTGCTTAGAATAGTAATTATCTTTTTAAAATTTAGTCATTGATTATTGCACTAATTTATATTCTAGAGGTCAACTCATCTTATCATAAAATATCCACCAAATGAGGAAAAGAGTATCTTTTAATGGCAACGAATTAATTTGTCAAAACATTTAGTCACACTTATCAAAAATATTTTAAGAATTGTATGTTCACAATTTACTACGAAATTATTTAACATTTTATATTTAGCTTTGGCTAATAACTTAAAAAAATTATTATTACAGTTGAGATGAGTATAATATACAAATCTTAGTTAATAGCTGTAAAAATACTATTTGACTCAAGGTTAAAAGATAAATATAATTTTTTATTGCATTATCACATATTAACTTAATATAATATATTCCTTGTTTTGTATATATATTCTTTTTAAATTTCTCTTATGAATTTTTGGATAAAAGAACTACGTCTAGGCTTAAAAAGTTATTAATATTAATAAAACTTAACGTAATTTAAATTTAGCGCATCACGTGAAACTTTTCACGCTTATTCGCCATATTTATTAAACACGCAAACAAAACAAACTAATTACAAATGTCAAAAAACTAAATGGCTATTAAAAATACGAATGGACTTGCCAATGTCCAATACTAATATAACCATGTTTGCCATAATGTTGTTTTCATTTCAAGTTTAACTAGATTATAACACATTGAGAATTATCTGAAATTAATTTTAAAAGTTTGAATAACTTTGAAAGTAAAATAAAAAAAAATCTTTCTATTTGGAAAAATAAGACCAATTAAGTCTAGAGAAGTTAATGCATGTTTCTAATTTGTTGATTTAAGTTAATTGGAAATATAACATAAAGTTAAGTTAGAAACCAAATTATGTATATTTTGTGACTTAGTTAAGATTAGTTAACACTAACTAGAAAAATAATTTAACTTTATTTTTACTTTGTCAAAATTGACTTGTAATTAACACGCTATTCTTGTTAAAAAAGTAACTAGTTAAGTTACATCCTTCCAAAAAATTACAAGTTGTCTAACTTAATTAAATTAACGATTTAACTTTTATCTTTTGAATAATTTTAACTTTTTAACATGTTAATGCTCAGCCTTGAGTTCAACCATAGGTTAATAAACAAAAACATTAATATTGATTCCCATAATTTGTTCTTTTAATTAATAAAAGCATAATGTTTTATTAACCACAAAGATAGAATTAAAGAATATATCCAACGTCCTTCGTGGCAAGCCTAACCGGTTTCGCACCCATACAAGAAGTTAAAATCGATTGAAATTTCATTTATACATTTGTTATTTTGAAGTAAATAAAATTTTTATACAATGACCTTATTATTGTATTGTTGGTGAGTAAATCATGTCCATAATATGCGTTTAATCGAAAAACGCGCGTAAATTTCACACAAAAAGAGAAACTTTTTTATTTACATTATTTGTCAATTATTATGCGCATAAAATCTTTTATAAACAAGAAAACAACTTTATGTAAAAGTAACTAAAAAAAGTTGTTCAACTAGCTAAAGTTAAAAGTTTTAAGGTATCCTATTATGTGTAAAGCATGTAAATAATGTTGGTACGGCGTATATGGATTTTTAAAGGTTATTATTATTTTTTTCATAATTCAAGGTCAGTCTGTAACAAATGACTAAATTACATATAGTTAATAATTATACAATAGTAATCAACAATCGGTTATTGATTTTGTGAATCACCTTTACAACGATTAGTTTAAAAAGGTGTTTCAATTATCAAACGGTTTAAAAATAATATTGAACTATGTTCGCAATAGAATTTGAAGTCAATAACATTACAAATAGATAAGTTATGCTATTTGATTTTATAAATCTGGGGTAGGCCATTAATATATAATACACTAAGACATCTATAATGATATCTATAATATAATAATCTCAATACAAAAAATGTGTACTTTAATGAAATAAAACCGTACTCTTTGTCCCGGACTAGCTTACTGAAATTCGGTATATTCTCCAATATTTGATAAGTAAATCAAATGTCAATTACGTGCACACAATTAAGCAAATTTCTCTGGATATACAGAGAAATTAATGGGGTCAATCCATGCCAAATCATCTAGAAGTGATTGCTCGAGCACCTCATTTTTTTCTTAAATTTTCAGGGCTTATACTATATTTAGATTAAAACAATTTTTATTTTTTATGAGCTTTCCATTTGTATGGCTATTTTAATGTAAAAAATGTTAAAAATAGCCAGAACGTTAAAAAACACACAGATAATTCAATATTAACTTAATCGAAATAAAATTTTAGAGTTAAAAAAATTTGTGTAAAATTCCAAACTTTAATCTTCTTCTTCTTCTTCTTCCTCGCCTTCATCCAAACTATTTGGAGTCGGGCACCAAACTCAAAACTTTAATGACTTTCTAAAAATGACGCTTTTCTGCGTAAATAGGCGTTTTTGAGTTCATTTAAAACCATTAAGAAATTATTATTTTACAGTGATTTTGAAATTTGGTATTGTATAATCTATAATCTATATTTCAACTAAATTAATAACGAGAATAGTTTTCAATAATTTAAATCTCATTTTAGGTTTTTTTCGTTTTGTTGTAATTGAGCTCAAAAACGCTAATTTACACAGAAAAACGCCATTTTTAGAAAGTCATTAAAGTTAGGAATTTCACAAAATTTGTTTTCCTTTTTATGTAAAATTCAAGTTAAGATAAGGTCAATTCTAAAATTTTAATTCAATTAAGTTAATATTAAATAATTTGTGTGTTATATAACATCTGACTATTTTTAACATTATTTATTTTAAGATAGTCATAAAAATTATAAGATCTTAAAAAAAATTGTTTTAATCTAAATATAGCATAAACCCTGAAAATTTAAGAAAAAAATGAGGTGGTCGTGCAACTACTTCTGGATGATTTGGCATGGATTGACCCAATAGAAATTAAAAATTATAATTATTTTGGTGTTATATTTTTAGTGTAATATTTTTATATTTTCCAGACATCTCAAATGAACTAACTAGAATTTGTTAGAATTTTGGTATTACTTTAGTAACATATAATAGTAATAATTTAAGAGATTTATTAGGTAACCCTAAAAGTAAAGTAGAACAAGGGGGGAAATTGGGAATTTATAAAATACAAAAGTTGTAATAAATGTTACGTAGGAAAAACAAAAACAAATCTAGGAATCAGATTTAAAAAATACTTAAGAAATATTAAAAATCAAAAAGTTGAAATCTCAACTTTATTTTTTGACACATAAAACTAATTCAAAACGTAAATAATTACAAAGAACTTAATATGATGGGGAAATGTTTAAAAATAAGAACAATTTAATAAATTGGGATTTTGGCCGACTGAAAAATTCATTGTTAAACTTTTCCATACTGAATGATGTGATAACATTACTTAGTGATAAATACGCTAGGTGATAAGGTCACTAGAGGTATATAACAAGTTTTTATTCAGTCGGGGTATATGTATGTGATTAGCGTTGATAATGTTAACATTGTTCTCTAAATACGTGTACACTATTTTTTTTTTGGGCTTTTCGAGTTAAATACTATAAATATTTTTTAAATTTAATTAATATTTTTTATATAATTTTAATTTTAAATAATTAACCACAAATGATTGATTTTTTTTTATACTATACATGATTACTAAAATACAAAAATAAAATTTCTTGTGTTTTTTTGCTAGCATATTTAGAACGAAACATAGATTAAATATATATTCAATTATTTTAGGAATATTGGCTACCGAATAGCTGGAGTTATTTTTAACTTTATTAAAAAGAGATAAATATAGGCTCAAATTGGGAATTATTTAGCACCCCTGATATAATATTAGCACACTCAAGCAAATTTTGCCATTCTTTTAAACTTTTGCTAGGAAAAATAAATTACTCCTTATATTATAATAGTATAAATAATTCCTCTTTTTTAATGTAATCTTTTAATATCGTGTGTATGCAATGTTATCGGCGTATTATGTGTACAGTGGTAAGGAATAAATATACAATAATTTTATACATAATTGTTTATTTATAAATAGATAAAAAAAGGTGTGATACACCATTTTGACACACAGCGAAAAAAATGTGAACAAATTTTGTGATCTTTGAAACGTAAGTACGTAAGTTTAAAATATTTTTGCATCTATGTGGAAATTAATATATTTATAAAGGCTTAGAAGTAATGTGCCATTTTTCAATCTGTTGAATATTTTGTACTATATTATTGTAACAAATTTTTAGGCTTCAAATCCAATAAAAGATATTGCTATCCAGGTAACTACAACATATTTTTTCAAAAGTTGTGTTTTTCTCAGCAGCACACATTTTATTAACCTACTCAAAAGTGAATCGATATCTGAATCATAAGTGTGTGGTGGTCTAGTAGTTATTGTCTTTTAGGTTTTTAGATTTTGTATCTATAATACTTTTTGTCATGAAATGTAATTCCGTACTGTGTTTCTTTTTTTCATATAATTTTCGATACATTTTTAATGACCGGTGGTCAATTGCCGGCGGTAATATCAATTATATAAAAAACCCAGCACAGGGGGGTCGCGGCACAGTGGTGACGTGGCATAGTTGGATCAAGTATAATGATATCTGACAGTGATTAAAATCACTATAAAAAAAAAACGCTTCGATGCAAATCTTTAGATAGTGTTTAATTTTAAAAAATTGGTGGATTATTCCAAAAGCTTCATAAACTGCTAGTTCCTTATTAATATCCTGATTAAGACAAAGTATGTCGAATAAAAAAGAGATTATTAGAAAATAGTATTTCCCATAAAAAAATTATATTGATCAATACACTTTTCAATAAGTTATAGCATTATAATGTTAAAAATGTAAAAAATAAAATTGAGAATTTTCACACAATAATAGCATTTGGTAGCCATTTTCACCTTGAAGATAAAATAAAGTCCGAAATTTTTTTTTTCCATGATAAAGTATATTACATTAGCTTTAATTTAAGATATATATAAAAGTGTCAGACCTTCCGGAACACTTTCAAAAGTTACGTTGAAAAAGTTCTACTTTCTTTGTGCATTTTTATGTTTTGAATCCCCCCTGTATTTAGGGAAATGGTCCGATTTAAAAAAACTATATGTCGAATGAAAGATCTATATAAATACTACTTCTCATAAAAAAATTGTAATGATTCATACATTTTTCAAAAAGTTATAGCATAATAAAGTTAAAAATGGAAAATACAAAATCGAAAATTTTCACACAAAAATAGCATTCGGTAGCCATTTTCACCATGAAGATAAGATAAAGTCCGAAATTTTTTTTTT